CTATTTTTACATTTTTAGTTTAGATGATGCTTCTGTGATATTTAACATATGCAATATATATTTAACAGATATTTACTCTTACAAAGAGAAAATAACACAAAATATCTGTATCTTTTCATATATAAAATATGTAACTAATTGTACATATTTCTTCAATAAAATTAATATTTATAATGTAAACATTAAACACACATTTTATTCATTTATTCTTAGAATTTATATTTTAAAGCTTATTTTTATGTTATTTGTTTACTTACCTATAAATTGTATTATTTTAACACTGAGAAATGTTAAATTTTAATTTACATAATATTCAAATAATACAATCATACCATGTTAAATTAAAACTCACATATATTAAAAATTTGACACAAAATTTAATAAAGATTTAAGTGGACCGTTTCTAACACAAATACAAAATGTTTTTTACTGTGTAATGCCTGTGTCATACTACAGAGACTGAGAATTGCGAATTGAAGATTAAAATTCAGCCAAGAATAAAACAGATTAAAATTATTTGATTGGTCAAGTTCTAATCTTCAATTCGCAATCCTCAATCTCCAATGCGTAATATAATACGGACATAAGACTGTCGATGAAAGAAATAAATCAAATACAATGTCATAATGCTTCAAGAAATCATTTAAAAGATATTTAAAAATTGCATCGAAATAACAAGACATCTCTTATATGTATTTATTACAAGTACATTATATGTAAAAATTTCTTATCATATATTTTGCAAAGAAATTGAAGAAAGTATAATACGAAGTATAATGAAGATATTTATTTAGAGCTCACAAAGAGAAATAAAACGTAATACGATGAAATGTTATCATCTCAATAAAACCACATCAATTTTTATTTTATTACGAAAAGTGCATATATACTTAGGTCTATACAAAAATGTTTGTAAAATGTGTTCGCAAATTTTATTGTAATGAGAGTTTGTTGCGAGTCTCGCAAGAGAGATATGTAATCTCAAAGATAATATTTTGATAAGGTAGTACATATTACACTGTATTAAAACTCAATAT